CAGCACAAGAATTTACTTTTAATTCTGCTGAAGTGAATGAAGGGCGGGAGGGGGCTGAGGAGGAGGAGAGTGTGTGCTGTTCCGCAGTGGAAGGCGTGGGAGTGCTTGGATCGGGAGTGAAAGTATTTCCTCCCCTAGACACCCTCCTGTCTTCACCCTGGGGTTCCACTTCTCAGGCTGAAGACCACTCTCCAGGAAGACAAGGCTGGGCTCTGGCCTCCCTGGGGAAGGCGGAGACCCAATGCAGAGGGCAGGGAGAGGGTCAAGAGTGGCATCTTTGAAGAAGGGAATCTCCTCAGGACTCTCCAGAAGTCTAGGAACCTGTCCCTGCTGCAGGGAGGCATGGGGGCACCCCCAGAGCAGCTGGCGATGTGGAGGCAGCTTGCTTCCTAAACAATGCTTGAGTGAGCTCGGATGAGAAGAGTTATTGTTTCAGCTCTCTGACACCCCTCCCCACCACAAACACCAAGTCTCCTCTCCAACTTCTCCGCATTTAACTTGCAAACCTGTTTTCAAGAATATTGAAACATATACTGGAACCAATTTCAAAAATATACTGGAACGAAAGCACGGGGTCTACTTGGACATACAGATGCACAGATGTAATAGGTCTTACACATACAGACGCACTCATCACTGGCCGGTGCTGACTAATGACCTGGAAACTCTGTTTATTGCTGTCTTTATTGCTAAACAAACAGCTGCTTAGTTGACTAATGGCTGTTGTCTTAAATGATTGCTAATATATCAACATACATATTGGTTTTTAGGCCAGGCAAAAGGTCGTATCTGACTTATATTTTACTCTTGGATCTGGGAGGCAAATGTATATTTTAAAATTTGTTTTAGGGTCTCCACATGTAACTTAATGAGCTATCTTGGGTCCAAAGGCAGGCTAATGCACCCAGCATCCTTTGCAGTGTGTCTGGTGTTGGACAGCATGAGCTGGTCAGGCGCTCGGCAGGGAACACACCCAGGTGCACAGTGGGGATGTGCTCTGTGGATTATCCGTGGCATATGGCAAGGTCTGCAGCCCACCCCTCTGTGACACGCAAGCCTGCTCCAGGATGGGCAGGGCGTGTCCGTGGATGACAAACACCTTCCAATGTGTGCCTAGTCAAAGCTTCAACAGGAAGTAATACAGGAAGCCAAATGTTTAGGCATAAATAACCTTGCCCTCCCTGCTGGTGTGAATTATGGCCGCCACTGAGTTAAGTGAGAGCTGAGGACATGTTTCCTTTCTGGAAAACATGTTCTCTGGAGGTAGTGACACTTCAGAAGGGAAAATCACTGAAGCAGCCAAACTCCCCAAGACATGCAGTCTGAAGAATTTCTTTGTAGTGAAACCAAAAGAAATTGCGAGGGCGCAGATCAGAAAGAAGCAAGCTGTGTTTCCCTTGAACTATGGGCTGGCCTTTGCTGGCTAAGATTCTTCAGCATTCAGGGGAGGTGGAATTGTGAATGAATGGCCCCAAGCAAGTCATCTAATGAGAAAGAAAGGAGGCAGGAGGGGAAGAGACTGTTAGACAGGGCCGCATAAAGGTGAAGTAACAGCACCTGAACACTAGATGGCAGCAGCTATACACACATTACATGCTAGGGGCCTACCTGTCCTCTTTCCCATCAGGGAAACAAGTGGGACCTGAAGACACTGTCTTTCTACAGCATTTACTTTTTACTTTTTTCTTGTGAGGGATTATAATGCCAGCGGTGAGACAAGAGAACAGCCTGCTTCCAGATGCTTAAGAAGCAGTAGGGAGTCACAAAAAATTATTGTTGGTGTCGGGTGTTTGATGATGAACCTTAACTAAACCTATGGGCTGTGTCCACTAACCTAGGGGTCTCCACACTTTTTCTGTAAAGGGCCAGCTAGTAAATATTGTCAGCTTTCAGCCTGACGATTCTGTGGCAGTTACACAATTCAACCATTGCAGCATGGGAGGGGCTGCAGGCAATATGGGAACTACGGGTGTGGCTGTGTTCTAACAGAACTTCATTTACCGAAATGCGTGTTGGGCTGACTTTGGTCCACGGACCGCAGGCTGCTCACCCCTACACTAAATGAACAGGAAAATCTGCCTGGCTCAGACAGCTTGTGTATATGGCACCTGCTGGGAAACCCTTTTCTTTTCCCAAGTCCATTTTTCCTCCCCTCTCAGCTGCCTCCACACGGCACCATAAGATTACCTGTCTCCTGGACACCTGAACTTGAATTCTCCCTTTTCCCTTCTGCACAAAATCAGCTGACAAGTGCTGTCTATTCGTTCTGCATTTAAAACCTCTTTCTGCCATCGGTCATTGTCACATTGCTTTCTTCCTGTCGCAGCTAAAACGCATAGCTGTGGGTGGTCAGTACATAGTAGTTCAACTGCTGAGCTTTTCATGCTGGTCCATCTACCTCCCCGGCCCCAGTCATTCCGCGGGAGCCAGGCTAGTGCTTCAGTCATCTCCCAGGCTTTTCATTACCTGCCTCAGCACCATCACAGTGGCCAACTCATCATCGGCCTTCCCTTCCACAAGGCATCATGGGAACTCTACCCTGGTGACACGTCTATGTACCAGCCCTGCAAACACCTTGGGACCTACCCTGCTCACCATATTACCTGCCTTATCATCTCCACCTATCCAAGCGGACTCACTCCACACTACTGGCCCCATTCGATGAAGAGGAGGAAGAGCGTGCCCTCCACCCACTCATTAGATAAGTTAGTTTGTGTCCCACCCTCGGAGCTCCTGCTGTGCTAATCTTCATGGTGCCCACAGGTTCAGCCGTGCACTAACATTATTTGCGCTGCCTCATGTCATCAATTTTTAATGACATCGCATTGAGGTCAGAGATTGTGGTCTGAGCGGTAATGATATGGGGCTGTTCTGACCTCTGTGGCTCTAATCAATTGAAAAACATGCATACGTGTGCTTGAAAAGAAGGTAAGCTTCCCAGTTGCCGGGTCGGGGTTCCATTTATGTCCATTAAACACATTTTGTAAATTTTTTGTTTTATCGGTGTCAGGGATGGGAAAGGTGCTCACCCACTGCGATGGAGGTTTTGCCTGTTTTCCTCTGCCATTCTGACAGCTCTTCTTAAGAAGTGTGACGCTTGGGTTGCTAGGTGCACACAAATGCAGGACCATTGTATCATCCTGGTGCGTTGTTTCTCCTGTCATTAAGGACTGACCTTTCTTCTGTATACAGCTTTCTACCTGCATGTCTGTTTTGTCTGGTACTAAAATTGTAACACCTGCTTTCTTTTGATCAGCATTCACCTTGTATCCTTTTCCATTCCTTTATTTTTAACCTTTCCACGTCGTGTTGGAGGTACGCCACTTCTTAATCTCACAGAGCTGGAATTTTAAAAGGCAAAACCTCTCTCTTTTAAGAGATGTGTTTAATTATCTGATGATTTTATTTCTGCACCCCTCCCCCAAACAATTAGTCTGTCTTTCTCTCATTTCTTTCCTCCCTCCCTCCCATCCCCTAGTCCCCATCTTCCCACTAACGCAGGTCTGTAGCTCAGGTTCAGGGCAGAGAAACCTAATCAGTCCTGACAGGGGCTGTTCTGCATTTTATCAGTCAAGAGGAAGATCACAGGCCTTCAGAAAGGAAAACCCCCAACCACAAGCTAGATAGGATTTGTGAGGAAAATGGGCTGAAGGGTAGGGTCCGCTTGAGGGAGAGCTCTTTGCCTCTCTGCAGTCTGCATTTCAGGGGGACACCCCCACCCCAGGACACTCCAGGACAGTGATGCTGATACTACAGGCTTCAACGGGGCTCAAGTGTGGGGCCACAAAAAGCTCCCAGTGATGCTGCTGAGCAGAGGGCTTTGCGAGGCTGACGCTATAGATGCCCGCGGCCAGGTCCAGTCCCCACTCCAGGGTCCTGAGGGTTTGCGGAACTCAGGGAGAGTCAAGGGAAGGGCAGAGTTGGGCCGGAAAGGCTTTTGTTCTACTTTCTTTAGAAATATTTATAAGGATTGGCAGAAAGTGCAGGTGACAGAATAGAGGGACATCGGAGTTGACATCTTGATGTCATGGGAAACGTGGTGCCACCAGGAAGCCAGGCCTGTGAACGCAATGCCTGGGGCACAGGCCCTCCGAAACGCATTCTGTCCCCTGTGCTCCGGGAGGACCTGGCCTTGGAATGCGGACGGGGTCAGCCCCTCTGAGCTCCTCACCCACTGGATGCTGCCCGACTCTGAAGTCTCTCACGTTCTCACCGAAGCCAAGATCAAAATGGCTGTGCCGAGGGACAAAGCACCAAACTCCCCGCCCCACGCCTGGTGCTGGAAATGCAGCCCGCAGGGCACTATGAGTCAAAATTAGTCCTTGACTGCGGAGACATTTCTTACATTCTAAAGGCCCCACCCTACCTCCTGTCTCATCTGGTTTTCTCCATGGGACCATAGGACGAGAAGCCCCCCGCAAGAGCCTGCAAAGGAGCAGACGTAAGGGGGTGGCAGGGGGGGAACGAAAACCAGGAAAGGCCGGTGTCATGGCAGAGAAAGGAGGGCTTCTAAGAGGAGGGAGCCACTGGGGCATCAAATGCTGCCTGTGTTACGCTTTTTTGTCTTTAGTCTTTTTTGTGGGGGTGGGGGAGTTACATGGGCTGATAAAATTGTATAGGTTTCAAGTGTACAATTCTAGGATACATCATCTGTATATTGCATTGTGTGTTTACCACCCAAAGTCAAATCTCCTTCCGACATCATATATTTGACCCCCTTTACCTTTTACTATACGCCCTCTGTCTTTAGACAACAGCACACAATGATATCCATGTGGTGTTTTCAAGGTGGCTACCCACTAGAGAGCACACATGGAAAAGTTGGCCCAAACCTGCTCGTTTGAGGGGGCACCTCTCGCAGGTATGGCCTTCACCTGAGCGCCTCCCCACCTTCACCAGTCTTGGCCGTGTGCAGGTGGGGGTGCTCATCTGGGTAACACGCGTCTCCGGAGCACCGTGGGGTGCAGGGCCCTGTGCCAGGGCAGCAGGTGCTGGCTTACCTGGCGCTCTCAAAGGTGGCGGACGCCGTCTTTTCTACAGCTCCAAATCCAACTCCGACAGCAAGACCCTCTGAAACACACATTAAAAAAAGCATTAAGGGCTAGGAATAATTTCCCAATAATGCTCATCGCTGCCACAGTGTTAGGAAAGGTTGTGTAGACTACTAGTAACAAAACATTCAGGGGTCAGCAGACTATGGCCTGGAGACCAAATCGAGCACACTGTCTTTTTAAAAAAAAATTATGTATTTATTCATTATTTTTTAATCGCAATTTTTTAAATTTTTGACTGCTTATTTTTGTATTGCCTGTAAGCCAAAAACAATTTTTACATTTTTAAGTAGTTGAAAAGAAAATCAGAGAAAGAATATTTCATAACATGTAAAAATTATATAATTTTAGTGTGCATAAATAAAGTTTTATTGGCACACAGCCATGCTCATTTGTTGATGAGCCATCTGTGGCTGGTTCTGTGTAGCCGTGACAGAGACCGTATGGACCAAAAATCTAAAATATTTACCACCTGGCCCTTTACAGAGTTTGATGACCCCTAACCTAAACATACAGGGTTTTATTAGCTCCTGAGCAAAAAGTCCAAGGTTGATATGGTGGCCCAATGTTGTCATTGCAGATATGTGACAAGCCATCCTCAGGCGGTATAGACTGTCAGTTCACTATGAGATGATGCTGCTACCGTCCAGCTTGAAGGTTGGGGATGGATGAGATGGTTCTCCAAGTCCTGTCCAGTGGGCCCGGTGAGCTTGCCAAGTTCACCAGCACCCTGACTATGAGCAGAGGTGGAAGGGAGATGCTAGTCTACAGCATCTGATGCAGAGGTAAAGGCTTTGAAAGAAAGTGGAACTGTCCCAGTGGCCGTGGGTCCCTGGGGTAGAAGCACGATGTTAAGACACTTCCTGACGTCCGTGGGAGGGTTCAGTCTCCATGCAAATAGGTAATAAAATTACAGCATTGGTCAGGTTCAGGACCAAGAGTTTTGGGGGCAAGAACCAACCATTGTTATGAAGAAGGAAAAGGGCAAAATCTACTGAGTGAGGAGGGCTTGTCTTCTTTTGGGATTCACTATCTCTTTGAACTCCCTGTTTTTTGTGCTTGTGTTCTGTTTAGAGTGGGCCAAGGACACTGGGATTGTACAACAATAATGATAATGACTCCAGGAGGCATGTGGGGACAATAGGGCCCCTTTAGCTTGACCTGTGTTAAGGTGAACGAGTTTACCTGTGATTCAATCTGGTTCATCCAAAGACCTGCTCAGCCTTAGCGGCTAAAGCATAAAATGTTTCCTGTGCTTCAGTCTCTTTGGGGACCTTATGGGGTGACTGTGGCCACGAGAAGCTGCCGGTTGAGAACTTGGGGTCCTGGTGCCCCACTGAATATCTGCTCTTGTTTCTCCTAACGATAGCGTGGAATTCAGAGTGCTAGGGTGTTAGAGGTGGGAGAAACGCCAGAGGGCACGAGGAATGACTTGGGCCACTGCCAGACCCAGAAGCCAGGGGCTTTCCAAAACCAGACAGAGCAGCGAGGCCCCCGGGCCCAGCCCCAGCAGGCAGGACTCACACCGCAGCAGGCTGAGGAGACGCCCCTAACACCCTCCTTCCGAGGGCTCTCAGCTGGCGTGGCCAGCAGAGGCAACACGTCAGAACAGCCAGACTTTTCAGAAGGGAGGTTTTGAAATTTTCCTCATTGTTATTTATTTTTAACTCTCTTGATGTCAATTCTTAATAAAGGCTGAATCTTTGTTCATTAAGTCTTTCCTCTCAGCTGATTCCAGGTTCCAAATTTGGCCTTGTATTCAAGAGCTCCACCTCTCTGTGGTCTTTCTCTTGAGAAGTAGTGATGGTAGTGGTGGCAGGGTGGCCTTTTTTATACCGGGCCCTGGGCTAGAAGCCTTGAACATGAACCAGAGGTGAAAAGCTGTCACCTCCACTTCATGGATCAGAGCAGAAAGGTGACGGGGAAGCTCTGAGAACCCAGGTGGGCTAGGATTCTGAGGTCCAGACTCTTCACTCTCCACAGCTGGTTGTTCATTTCCCTCCTCTTCCAGAAACGTCCCTGAGGGTAGAAGCCATGACTGTAGGGAGGGGTTTGGATACGTGTTCAACATTTTTAGGTTGGTGCGATGCCTCTGATGTGCTTCAGAAAGGGGCAGGCAAGAACAGTGCTGCAGGGGAGCTGCCGGATATTGCTGAGGGCTGAATTTCAAGACAGGTTATGACTGGTATGTCTACGGCTTTCAGATATGCTTCCCACCAGGGAGGAGGCAGCGTCTTTCTGTACAGCGCCTGGAGATCAGGAGCCGCCCACGTCCACGGTCATGAGAATACAAAGTTAGAGGACATCGGAGATGCCTCTATCTGGCCACCTGCTACCTTCGGGGAGTCCGGCGTCTACAAACCTACTGTTCTCACGGTTGTTTAGAGCCAGCACAGTGGAGACCACAGGTCACTCCCATCAGTAACTGTGGGTCTTGGGCAAGGTGACACCCTGGGGAGAGTTGTCAAAAGCGAGGGCGGCTAGAAGGGGTGCTTCTGACAGACAGGAACAAGCCCTTCTCTTTGAAAAACTTATTTGTTTTTTTTCTAAACCATAAACAACAGCTGGTTGGTTCTTTTGTTAAAGATTTTGCTCTGATTAGTGGTTTCTTTCCCTTGAAGATAAAAAGTTTATTTTGCCTTTTTCTGACAAGCAAAATTAGTGAAAATTAAAGTATAAAAATAAACACAATTTACATTAATGGATATTTCACTTCAAAGTAAATACAAAAAAAAATAATGTATATAAAAAAACTCCATTAAAAGCGCACAACAATGTCTGGCACTTTTATGAGAAAAGCTGGAAAAGCTGTCTCATAAGTAGTGGTTTTAATGTTCATCAGCAGTTCCCAACCTTTTCAGCATCAGGGACCAGTTTGGTGGGAAGCAATTTTTCTATGGGCTGGGGTGGGGGCTGGGGGGATGGTTCTGGGATGATTCGGGCACATTATTACATTCAAGCTCACCTCCTGCTGTGCGGCCCAGCTCCTAACAGACCCAGACTGCTACCAGCCCACGGCCTGGAGGTTGGGGTCCCCTGACAGAAATGATAGCACAGCCCAGAGCAACAGGCCCCACAGTGATTAGCGCACTGAGCCTTCCTGATTATTTAGCACACAGGCTAGCACACTGATTTACATCAATGCCCACAACGGCTCTGGGGGGTTGGGGAGGAAAGAAAGGGCCTGCCCAAAGTGCCCCAGGGTCAAGGGGCAGAGCCAGGCCTTGCACCTCAGTCTGTCCCTCTCCCTCCACCCCAGGTTGCTGACTCTAGCTGTGGCTTCTCCCAGGCGCAGCAGCTGGAGCTGGCAATGAATCTGTTTCCTGAGGAGGCCGGGACAAAGCCAATACATTGCCCCTCTGCCCTGCCCTATGCCTTGGCCATGACAATGTGTACTTTGGCCATCACATTCTGTGATGGGTGGCAAAGAAGCAGGCCCTTCTTCCTTGCGCTCCTCGGACTCCAGGGGAGGGAACCATGACCCCTACCCCAAAAGCACAAGCTGCCAAGGGAGGCAGCCAATGTTTCCCTGTGATTTAGAAAAGGGAAGAGGAAGGAGAGGTCATGGCAGAAGAGAATGTTAACTGCTATCATGTCTGAAGGTGGAAAAACACCTGAGAGTCAAACTAATGGAAGGCCAAGACAAATTCCACAGGAAGGAGAGAACTGAAATAAGAGAATTCAGGCAGCCACTGAAGACCAACAGATGGTTGAAAGAGCCCCCTGGGAGGAAAGGCGCAGAGGAAAAATGCCAACTAGAGCTCACACCCCAGGTGTTCCAGCAAAAGTGCAAATTAGGAAGGTAATTAGGACAAAATCCAAAGTGAGTGGGATATTATTAGTAAGCCACAGCCTCTGTTCACAGCTACTGCCATTAACTCAGGTGCAAAGAGGGGGAAAACAAACCAGGAACCTGGTATTAGGAGTCCAGCAGGGCGAGGCGGAGTCTTGAGGACAAACTTGACGATCAGCTCTAACGCTGAGCCAGTCCAGTCCTGTCTTCTCCTGCAGTTGGAAGGAGGCTGTGCCTGCCTCTCCCTGCCTCCCTGTCCTCTCTGAATCTTCCTCTCCCTCATCCTCCGCTGGGAAAAGCAGAGGACCTGGCCTCACATCCTGGTATGTTATCTGAAGTTCTTGTAAATGCCAAGGAAGGATAACAATGCTTTGCTTCCAGAATGATGTGCTCAGAGCAGGTTTCTCACTCCTGACATTTGCTGTAAGAGGCTGGTCTGTGCGTAGTAAGATGAGGAGCAGCATCCCAGGCTCTGCCCACTAGACACCGGTAACACGCCCACTCCAGAAGTTGTGCCAATCAAAAAATGTCTCCGGATACTACCTAATGTCCCCTGGGGGAAAAGTTGTCCCCACTCAAGTACCACTGACCTCCCATCAAGGGGTACTTTGACCACGATTTTAAAACTACTCTAGAACACTCTTGGAGTTTAAGTAGGTAGTAGGAAAGTGAAATGAAATTAAAAACTTGTGTCTAAGTCCTTCTGGGCTGCTGTTAACATATCGTACACTGGGTGGCTTACATACAACCAAAGTTTATTGCTCACAGTTCTGGAGGCTGGGAAGTCCAAGATCAAGATGCCAGTGGATTCGATGTCTGGCTCATAGATGGTACCTTCTCCCAGTGTCCTCAGGTGGTGGAAGGGGACAAGGAGCTTTCTGGGTCCTCTTTTATCAGGGCACTAACCTCATTCATGGGGGCTCCATCCTTATGACCTAGTGACCTATACCAAAGGCCCCATCTCCTAATTCCATAGCCTTGGGGGATAGGGTTTCAATTCTGAATTGGGAGGCAGGGGGACACAAACATTCAGACCATAGCATCCAGTATTCTTTTTCATTGAGGGCTAACAGCTCTTAGTTTTAAGGGCCCTGGGCAGAGTTCACAGGTCTTCTGTAGGAGACCTTCCCAATCTCCAAAACAGCGGCATCTGTGTACCTTCTGCCCCACCAGACAATCACAGGTCCCACGCACAAATGGAAGGAACGCCCAGGTGGGGCAGAGCA